CGATCGATACTCTCGTGCAATGAAACTGAACGTTCAAAAAAAGATTCCTTCAATCTTCGCGGAGATCCAGTTCGACTAGTTCATTTTTGCGGCTCGAGTCCCGAAAGGGCGAGGATAATTCAGTAACGGGATAAATTTCAGGGCTGGCGAGAGCTAAACCGCGGAACTGAAATTGATCGAGAATTAGATTTCAGGCCATCAGGCTTAAATTTCAGTGTAACGATTCATCAATTTCATGCGATCTGTTTCCACCCGGGTTGCCCCAATCCCGAATCGATGATCACCCTCTTTAATCTCTCCGGTAGTAGCGTTCGACTTTCGGAGAATGCCGCGGATTTTCATCGTGAAAATGATGAACCGATCTTGGTACCACCAAGACGTTCGACTCGAATTCATTTACGCAGCGTAGATCAGTCCCATTTCTTAGAGGATCGATCGTCCTCAACAACGAGAGAGAAAGAGAGATAGACAGGTAGATAGAAAAATAGATAGATAGAGATAGAGGTAGAAATAGAGATAGAGAGAGAGAGAGAGAAAGAAAATTTAAAAAAAATCAACTTTCGACACAGTCACAGTCCCAAACTGGCGAGTACTTACTGTATTCCGCGGCTGCGGTGTCGTCCACTTGTGTCTGAGTTTTTTGTCGACGAAGAAGGGGGATCCCGCCGCTCTTTTTAGGCGCCAGGCTCGGGCACATGGCAGGTTGCACCAAATTGGTGCAATCGGTGTGGGCGTTTGCCTTGCACCCGCGACATCTGACACCCTGCCGACTGTGGCCACGCAGTACCTGGCCGCACGCATCGCACGGAGTGATCTTCCGGTAGGTGTACTCGCGCCAAGAGTGGCCTCCCTCGGATTCCAAACTTTTCCTGGAAGAAACGGTACTTTTCAGTATAAAATACTGAAATAACATAACTGTAGTCATATTAGTCTAGTGTAGAATACTAGAATGATATAAATTAGTCTAGTATATAGAACTATAATCATACTAGTCCTAGTATACAACACTAGAATGATACAACTATAGTCATATTAGTCTAGTATAGAATACTAGACTGATATAACTATAGTCATACTAGTCTACTATACAATTATAGTGATATTAGTCTAGTATAGAATAGAATTATAGTCATACGAATCTATAGAACACTTATATACATACAATTATAGTGATACTAGTCTAGTACAGAATAGTAGAATATATAAATATAGTCATATTAGTCTAGTATAAAACTATAATTATACTAGTCTAGTATAGAATATTGGAATAATATAAACATAGTTATACTAATTAAATACAGAACTATAGTCATAATAGTCTAGAATTAGAAGTAATAGAATTATAGTCATACTAGTATAGTATAGAATACTAGAATAACTTAACTATAGTCATATTAGTCTAGCACAGAACTATAGTCACACTAGTCTAGTATAGAACACTAGAATGATACAACTATAGTCAAATTAGTCTAGTATAGAACTATAGTCATATTAGAGTACAGAGCTATAGTCATACTAGTATAGAATACTAGATTGATATAACTATAGTCATACTAGTCTACTATACAATTATAGTGATATTAGTCTAGTATAGGATAGTAGAATGATATAAATATAGTCATATTAGTCTAGTATAGAACTATAATTATACTAGTCTAGTATAGAATATTGGAATAATATAAACATAGTTATACTAATCTAATACAGAACTATAGTCATAATAATCTAGTATAGAATTATAGTTATACTAGTATAGTATAGAATAGTAGAATGATATAACTATAGTCATATTAGTCTAGTACAGAACTATAGTCACACTAGTCTAGTATAGAATACTAGAATTATACAACTATAGCCATATTAGTCTAGTATAGAATATTAAAATAGTATAAATATAGTCATATTAGTCTAGTACAGACTATATACAATTATAGTCATACTAGTTTAGTATAGAATACTAGAATAATATATATATAGTCATATTAACCTCTTGACATACAATGACGTCTCACGTTTCCCAAGCTAAAGTCTGAGTTCAAACTCTGACGTCTGAAGATATTTTTCTACGTGCTTGAG